AGACTTGAATTTTTACTTCATTATTAAACTTCAGTGGAAGGTCTTTTAAAAGTAACTAATAGTAACTATTCACGAGTAATATCCTCTTATAGTACAACTTCCTATAGATTAAATGGTATAACTTTCATTTGCAGCCATTTGCAGCTGTAGTTTTTATTTTTATTTTTACAGCTGGTTCTAGTGTAGAGAAAAAAATCAAAAATTACACATATGAAGATTTCTTTAAATGTTTGCGTGATGTAGGCCCTTTAAAGCCTCAAAGTATTGAATTCAGGCTATTTATTTTAAATTTAATATAAAATAAATATAATGGAGAACATTGGGACAATATGTATGAAAAACTTGTTATGGAAAAAATTCGTAGTTTTGCAGTAATTTTGACAAGGTTATGGGCTAAAAGTGCTAGAAAGTTGAGTAATTTATACAAAAATAATAAACAGTGGCTTGAAACAGAATTTATAATGCCAAATATTCAACCTTCAGTTACTTCTACTTCATTTTTATCAGTTGGCCGACCACCTAAGGCATTTGCTGAATGTACCGAAAGATCGAAAAATAGAAAAAATAAATATTAATATTAATTAATATTAATTTCTTCAATTCTAATACATTGTTAACTTAATTATACTATTACTAACTAACATTAACTAAACAACATTAGGAAAACATATTGTAAATAAAATAATTTTGTCCGCCTAAAATTGCATTTCAAACCACTGTGCGTCTTTCTGATTTTTTTATGTTTTTGAAACATATGTATTTCAACGAGTAAAGAACAATGGAGAAAAAAAAATAATTTGCAGAAATCATTACCTACTGTGGAAGTTCTATCCTTCCAAAGTTTGAAATTTTCTGTTTTTGAGCACAAAGTTGCGGTTTACAGCCACGCACCGGGTTTTTAGTCAATTTTAATTTTTTTTTTAAGATTCTACGTATATTAACGAGTTAAGATCAGCACATATAATAATATATTAAAAGCTAATGAAGTATGACAAGAAAACAGTAGTCGCCTGCTACACCAACCAGCTACGATCGGCAAACTCCGAGATCCTACAGATAAAAGTTATTAATTTATTATTATCAAATGAAAATTGTAAAATTGAAGGCATAATACATATAATAATATTAATTACCTAGGTACCGTATTTTTTTAATATCTAGGTGTACAGGTACGAGATACCGTATATCATATTATTATAGCAATAAAAAAAACTCTTGTGCATTATAACAGACATCGTATCAGACGTGTTGCAAGGTTTCTTTGTTGACTGCAATCGCGACCTTATTTGAAGACGAGACCGTGTAAAAACCATCTGAACACTGACAGAAGCGTCCCGTGGGTGACTGGTGTATCGCTGGAGGGCGGAAGTCTTGCCATCAACATTATTATATTCAAAAGCCGGCCCACCAGTCCCGAAATCGACCACTCAACTAAATATAATATATTATGTGTGTGTGTGTGTGTGTGTGTGTGTGTGCCTACTGCAGTGAAGTGGAGAAACCCACTCCAATTTTCAGCAGAAAGTATTTATTTATTTTTTAATGACTTCCGGACTTTTGAAAAAAAAAAACATATATTTAGATGAAATAAAAATATAATAATATTACATAATTTTTTTATACCAAATGTCAACCGCACACGCCAAAGCGGCGCACCTTTTTGTCACTGCATATCATCCTCGCCAATTCAATTATATAAAAGTGGCCTCTGCGTCTAGAGTATATCTCTATATATTGTACCAAAAATAATAATATAATTATTTATAACCGCTCCAAAATAAATACCTACAAATATCACTTTCCTCGTCGGCTGATTTCGAATTTTACCTACCTAATTTTTTTCTACAATTTACCGGACTCGGCAACCGCCTAAATTCGAGTGACATTACCATCGTTTTCGGGGGACAAGTTTTTTAAAAATCATTTACTATTTATTATTATAACGACCCGTAAACTACCTCTTAAGTGTAAAAAAGTTATATTTCCGTGGTTTAGCAATTTTTTGGCTCATTACCTGAGTACTCTCGATTTACGACACGGTACAACGGTGACACTATACAAATATCGTAATTTATTAAGCTGACAATACATCGCTGTATTACTTAGTTTAAATTAGAATTTTTTTTTTTTTCAGACACTCGAGAGACTGATAGAGCGCTACTGTCTACTGTAATAGGCAATCGTGTACCCGTACCCACCCATCAATCTCGTGTCGACTCGCTTGGAAAACATGGGAACTGTTTAAAACGACGATTACTGCAGTGAAATTTAGAAGAAAGAAAAACATTATATGTAGGTGGGTACAAAAGAATGAGAAACGGAAACGTTAAGCAGTATAAAGACACAACTACCTTATTCTCAATCAATCTACAGGGTGACTTCTAAAATAAGCTCACCCCCCATTTTCCCCCTTATGATATTACATTTATTCAAATTCTGCTTTCTAGAATTTTTTAAGTATTTCTAAAGACTATATTTTCAAATTCCTGATATTTTTTGTACTAATTAAGAAATGTCCTGTGACATTACAAACATCTATTTTTCAAATGAGAACCCCCCCCCCCTTTTTTTAGTAGCCTACTAACCTAGGAGTCCGGGTAATGTGTATAGATGAGACTGAGATGAGCAAGCCTCCACCTGTGGCAGATACCTAACAATAAAATTAACAAATATTTTTTTTTCTTATGTGTAACCAATAACAAGCGGAAGTAAATTAATGTGCTGACATGGTTTTATTATTACTATTATTAACAGTAGTAAGCCACCCCAAAATAACTGGTTCATATCTAAGTATATTTATCCAACCCAGCTTCCTTGAACCATCAAATTTGATCGAATATTCTTTGATTCCATAAACTGATTCCTAGGCTTATGACTCATATGGCCAAGCCATACAGTTTTAATTTTATAATTGTTAGCTGTTGGAACTTGGAAGGCGTCTGTTCTAATACTCTTACTAAGACCTGCTCAAGATCCCATCTATAAGGAATGTGTGAAAAATGTTATGGCAATTGGTAAGGTTGGATTGGTGTATTACACGTCACTCGATGCATAATTTAGATGACATAAGCCGACCAATAATAATATCTGTGTTGATTGTTGGCCATCCATCTATTATAATCTATCTATTTATCTACTGTTGATTTTGATTCTGTTGAATTAATATTCTCAACTGTTTTTTAAAATCAGTGAGTATTTTTTTAGTATACAAACCTCAACACTATCCCACTTATGTAATCTAACATCAAATTAGATGTTCCTTGATTTTACATTTATAAAGAATAGGTTTATTGGCCTAAACTACAAAATATATTAGAATGTATACAAAATATGATATCCAATCATAATAATTATTTTATTATCCTGTAACTAAAGGCAACCTTACTCTAAAACAATAGGTATTCAATTTTCGTGACCTGAAACAAAATTCATGTGTGAGCCACCCAATAGCTATATAGCTATATTTGTTGAAAAACGAAGCTACAAACCCTGAGTCTTAAGGAATCTAAAGATATAACTTTTATTAAAAACAGTCCAGTAGTTTTTTAATCTATAAGGGACAAAGAAAGTTTCAATTTTATATATATTATAGAGAATATTTTTTTAAATTTTGACTATCACATCTATTCTGTGGTTTTCCATTATACTATCAATTTGTGATTTTTGTCAAAAATAATATTCTCTGAAAAATGTACTCTAAAATGGTTCAAAAATCATAAATAAAATTTAAATCAATGCATTTTATTTTGTTGCACATGAATCAAGGAGAAAAAAAATATTGCACCGACAATATTAGACGTTGGTATCTTCTTAAGACGTGTAGAAATTAGTTATGTTAATCACATATAATTCAATATAATTATTTCTATAGAATATGTTTATTTTCATTGTTTTTATTTGAATAAATTATTTTTATACAAATACTAAAGAAACTGTTCTGGATATAATCAACATTGTTTTTATGACTAAAAACCCTTCAGAGTTAATAATAATAAAATATCTAATACTTATTATATTTCAGTTAAACCAGATGTATGTTAACAAAATTAAATTGTAAAATAATTATAAAACTATAATTGTTTCATACATATCTAGTATCCACATTTTAACTGAGTAAATACCATGACAAATTAGATAGGTATCATCACAGTATTTTGATACGCATCCTCCGCTCTTTACTTCGTCTTCATCGTAGTTCTCCACTTCTTATTGGCTGTCAATCATATACATACATATATAACATAGAACAAAATCAACCAACGAGAAATGGAGAACTACGATATAGACCGGAGGTGAAGAAGATGCGTATCTACTGCGCAAAAATAGTTCAACTGTGATGATACCTATCTAATTTGTCATGGTAAATACTACACAGTACACGGTGCTAAAAATTATGGATAGGTATATCCCTTTATTATGTTAATTATTTAAATTTCTTGTAAAACATGGATGTTTATATTCGTACACGTTTTTTCCAAAAACAAATTCCAAAATATTTTACTAAATGATAAATATACCCCAATATTACGTCTTATGTTTCAAGTTATATAATCCAAACCAAACTAAAGAGAAAAGTATTTAAAAATTCCACAAATATGAAAATAATAAATGAGAACGCCACCAAGGACATTTTATATTTTATATACTTAAGTATTAAATAAAATACTAAATATATTACCAAACCTTCTTTAATAGTACAATTAAATTGTATTTTCAATGTAGCTTTACATCATAATTAAAATTGTGTGTACAAAATTACATATTACTCGCTTTTTTGTTAAATAATGAATGTACTCCATGTATGAGGCTTATATTTATTATCAGAAACAATTCAGTCGTATTTTAATGATATTATATACTTTCTTTTTTTTTCCAAAAAATATATAAATTAATTATAATCAGTAATCATCAATATCAATTAACCATTACTCTAAATGGATTAAACACAAAATGCATACATTTATTATAAAACATTTTTATACTACTTAAATTCTACACAATCAATACCAATAAGTTGGAGCTGGAACTCTATCTTCTTTGATATCCATTTCATCCATTATATCCATTTCAAATGTTTTCAATAGAGGTAAAAAAGTTATTTTTTTTATATCGTCTCCTGTAGTATCTTTTTCAGATTCTAAAAATAAAACATACTAATATTAAAACAAAAATTGACAGTAAAATGTTAAATAACAAAATAAGAATGGATGACTGTTTATGTTTTATATGCTTCTACTAGTGATTGTTACTTGTCAATGCACTTTTAACTAGTGTAAAGGTGAACCGGTAAGAAAATTATGTGATTTTAAGATAAATATCAATAGAAATTGATACATCCGTAATATCATATATCTAGAAGCATAATTTGTAAGTGCTATTGTTGTAAAACTTTAAAAGACAATTGCTATATATTTAAATAATATATCTTTAAATAGGTAACTAGAATTTAAGTTAATATAATTTTAAATACAATATTATTGAATAATGGTTGCAACATTTTTTTCATAGATTTTCTCATTCTTAAACTACCCAATATAAACCAACCTTTATAAGTATTCGGTGTCTTGTAATCATAAGTTTGCTTTGCTAATGATGGAATTGGAATTATCTTTCCACTTCTGGAAGACACCCGAACTTTATCACCACTCTCCGTAAATCTCCATTCAACAGTACAACCTTGCCTGAAAACAACAAAATATAAATTTAATTAACTATTTCAAATAGAGCAAAATACTTAATAATTTGATTATATTAGTAAAGTTTTTACTCACAAGTCTGATGGATCTACTAATGACACCTCACTAGTGACTAATAGTGGAATTTCTTTCATTTGAACCATTGACAAGTGCCCTTTATAGTGAGCAACTTCTTCTATTTCACAATTTAAACCATCGACAATCACCCAATTGCGTTCTTGAATCACATGACCAACAATTCCCTGCTTTCCCTTATCAGGTCCAACTAAAATTTCAACCTATACATGAAACGTACATGATTACCTAATCATGTATTTCCGTGCAATTGTTAATAACTATTAACTATAATTTTTCAATACTAACCCTGTCTCCTTTAAAAATTGACCATTCTTTGATCGGTTCCAAAAATACTTTTGGCTTTAAATCGCCAAAATTGTTTTGACTACCAAATGGCATCGACCAAGGCCTGTGTTCGGAAAAATGATATTTTTTCTTTTTGACAGTCCTTGGCAAGTAACGAGGATTGTTTTGTGGAGTTTTCCATACAACCTACGAGAAACATTCCATTAACGGAATTTCATATTTCTTCTCTTTTGCACTTACCTTTTCCATGCTACGCTTGATGTACGAATCCGGGAAATTAGCGTACTTCTTCGTCAGTTCTCCAACTTTCTTAAAGTCTCTCAGACAATCCGTTAGCCTCATCGTGTAATATTTTAAAACAATACGAGTAATAGTTACGACGACCTGAGACAATGATTCGAACTTCGAAGCACGCTTTCGGAAAAAAAAATAATGAGTTAATTAGTAGGTACTTAAATCGTTAAATCTACGAACACTGTTATAGTGTTATTACTTATTATCAAAAAAAAAAATATGAATTTTGACTTATGATAAAAAAAAAAAAGTAATCTTTGAGGACAGATAACATAATCTATAAATCTGTGCTAGAAAATATTATCATAGAATAATTTCTGTGTCTTGGAGTAAATAATATCGGACGTGGCAGCGAAAACCATTTCTACTTGTCCGTGCTACTTGTTGATTAGATTTCTGTGATAACCAATTGATAACAAGCAAATTATTTTGGCAACAACCAAAAAACTTTCGAATCATAACAATAATAATAATTATTAATTATTATTACATTCAAATAACTGTAAAGTAAACAGAGGACTCGACTTCCACTTCTCCGAAAAAACCTACAAACACTGATTGTTATCTCGCGTTAGTGCAATTAATTTATAGTATTTTTACTCGTCGGTTTGAATTATTGGAATTTGGCTGTTTTTCGACTATAATCTCATGATTGACATTATTATGTGTCTAATCCATTCGAAGGTCTGAAAAATGTTCAATTACGTGTACACACATTTTATTTGACTAAAGCAGTGTAATGCTTACATTCGTCTGTGAATGTCATTACTGGACGTTGAGAAACGACCTGACCATCAGCTACACGGATTTTAGTCACTTCAAGTACGTACGATAATTTATTTTGTTGATCTTGCACAGTCGAAAACGATTAATTTAATTTAATTTCTGTGGGTTTTCCATTTTAATCTATTGTGTAATGTAATGTCATTAATGTTTAATATCTGTGCAGATATAATGAGAAAAAAGAAACAGAAACGTCTACAGACAAGATCATCAAGAAACACTATGTTGAAGCTATCGGATGTAATTGGTCAGTGTCTAATAAGAGGCCTTTGAAATTGAGAGATTCGTTAAAATATTTTGAAGTGAGTAACCTATAATTTACCATGTCTTGCAAATAGTTGATATTTTACACTTTAATATTCAGACTGAACTCAACGAACATCATTTGATTGCTGTTGAATGGATAAAAAAAGACAGAATAGCGTTTATAGTTAGTAATGGATCTACTATATTTGTCACATTTGATCCCGCTACTTGTGATATAATCGAAATTGTCACAGATAAATTTTTGCAATCAAAATTTCAATGCGATCAATTAATTAACGGTAATTCATGACTCGTGACATTGTTTAACAGAATTTTAAAGCTTAGTATATTCTTTTCCAGTATCCTATGCAAAACAAGTACTGTTATGCTCATTTTCGGATCATAAATTGGGCATTGTACATTTTGGCCGTTCATTCGATCGCACACTGAACAAATGGTCCTTTCTGGATCCAAAAGTTGGATTATCTGATTTTAGCAATTCTACTACTAATAGAAAAAATGAACGAAAGACAACATTTAATGTATCCTCAACAATGGTGGCCACCTGGTCCAAGTCATCATTGAATGAAGTTTATCCCTGGAACCCGTTGGTGAAAGATGAACACAGAGCTAATGTTCATGTGTATAAAATCATTGGGTAAGATGTAAGAAATAAATATAGAACTTATACTTGTACGTTTTATTTCTATAAACTATATGGAAATAAAAATAAATACAATCTTGTAACATAATTATTACTACAAATTTGTGTTTAGGCCTCGACTAGAACTTTGTTGCTATTATCATACCAAACAAGATCCTCTTATTGTATCATTTAGTAAAACAATATCAAATATTATATTCATTTTGGAACAGAAGGTGAATTGTTTATTCTTTAATCAAAAATATATATTTTTTTCAATAATGTTTTATGTTATTAGAATTGCAACGACTCTCGTTTCGATTTTAGTACATTTGAAGTGACCAATACAAAATTACATTTAGTCAAGGTAGTGACAATTAGTCCATTTGATTGGTGTTCTGCCTCCATAATAAATGCCTGGTTAAACAAAGATGACACACGTTTATGTTTCTCATACAACGATTCTATACTGTTTATCCACGATTTCAAATTATCTATCACATGTTCAGTAAAAACTGCTTTTGTAAGTAGATTGGTTTTTATTTTTCTTATACTATTATTAAAAACAATTTTCAAAAATGTGGTACTTAAATGAACTACCACTGAAAAGAAAACTTTAAACTTTCATTAAAAAATCAATAATAAATAATATTACAATGAGTTATAGTTTTTTAGATTATATACATTATATTTTACTACAATTTCTTATGGATTCTAGACATTAGAGATACCTGCATTTATCAATGGTATACATATTATTATTAACATGTTAACATATTATCATTGTTATATTACGTTATATTATATTAAATAATAATATTTTATAATTGGTTATTTTTGAAATTTATTTTTCATTTTTTAATAAAACTTTACAATCATTATAAAATAACAGATTATAAAACAACAAAATCATAAACCCAATTTGTAGATAATATGTTAAAGTATGTCAACTTAAGTAACAAAATATTATGGGTGTAAACCACTGAACTATATACAGTATTTAGTTCAGTGGTGTTAACATGTTAAAAACTATTTGACAATAAATATATTGAGTACAATGTGTTTGTTACTAAGACTCGTGTCTTTTAAATTAACCAGCCTGTGGAGTATTTGGATTGGCACCCAGATGGTAATTTGATCGCTGTATCAGATAGTAATGGTAGAATACAGTGTTACGATTCGTGCTTGTCTTGCATTCGTCTACAACCATTGACAGAAGAAACAAATTCATCAGCTTGGTTAGATTTTCAATCCAAAGTTGGGAACAAAAAACTTTTCTCCGTGAAATGGATGCCATATGAAACGACAAAACATGCTGTGAACCAATCTGATGCCATTCTTCATCTCATATTTGAAAAGTATGATTTTTTTTTATGATAGGTCAAACCCTGATTTTTTAAACTAAATGAAACTTGAACCGAACTTAAAATTTTTTTTTCGTACCCAAACCAAACGAACCTTCATATTTTCTACCGGACTGAACCTATAATTATTTTAACTCAACATTTTTTATCAACTATATCAACCATAAATCATAATTACAATAATTATATTTTGAGTTTTTGTATTACCAATCAAATATAGAAATATAGAATGTAAATTGTGAACATGTTATTGTCAACAACACAGCCACGGTATCGGAATATTTTCACAGAATATAACAATATTAACATGGGTTTACTCAAAATAAATTTTTCCTGTTTTAATAATTATGATAAAATAAAATTAACAATATTAATGTAAGCATGGGGCCTCTAATAATCATATAATTTGTAAATACTAAATAGTCATTATACATTTCTAAAAATAACTATGAAAGAAAGATTTGGTCTTTATAATTACCGGGGCCGGAAAGTCTGGTTCAACAAATATTTGAATTTTGAAGTTCAATTTTCAAACAGTAAAAGATGCTTGATAGTTCGGTTCAAATTTCAAACCAAAACAAACATCGAGGGTTTGGTTTGAGATTCTAATAGTTCAAATCATCACTTTTGTTTTTAATATGTTTTGGTATATGATATTACACATTTAGGGGCCCTGTGATTGCCATTAAGGTATTCGGCGTTGGGAAGTTGTGTGTAAATCAACTGGTTTCCATGTATTTAAATGAAAATGATGTCGATCACGCACTCAACTTTCTACTGGGACTAGATTGGCATTCTGATGGGCCACTATGTTTAACAACCTTGCAACAAATCACAAATTATTTGTTTAGATTGTCATTTACTCCTGTAAGAGAAGGTATTATGAGTATTAACTATTAAATAACCATTACTATTTATTATTAATAAAAATAAATATGAAAAAAAAATGTATTACTACATAATCTTATATTATATTTACAACAGTGCAATTACAATCTGCAATCGGTAGTTTCTACCAACCTGTCATACCGTTAAGTGAAGATGCAAAACATGAATATTTTGAACCTGTTCGGAATATTGCTCGGCGTTTTTTTCATCATTTAGTGAGGTGCTTATAAATGGAATTTACTAATTAATTTGTGTTAAAATAATTTACCAACAAATTATGACTTCCAGATACGAACTCTATGAAAAAGCATACAGTCTAGCCATTGATTTGAATGACAGAGATTTATTTATGGATCTATATTGGGCCACAAAATCAGGGATTGGTACTAGAGCTATGGCAACCATGGCATTGGAGAAAGCTAATCAAATTGTGTCATCAGAATCAGACGATTCACATTCTAGTCAGTCATCTGATTGTGATTGTACAGACTGTCATTCAAATTCTCCATCAAGCTCATTAAGACCACCTTTACCAAACGTTCCCATCGCAACATCTTCCCCGTTATTGTTCGCTCCATCAATACCAAACAACAGATCACTGAATAATGTTACAACTATTAGTGTACCAGTATGTGATAGTTTTATACAACCATCACTTTTAGATTGCTTAACTTTTTTTTTTTTCTAGTATACTGGTTCTCATGTTGAACACGTTCAAACAAAAAATATAGAGCTACCAACAACTTCATTGGATAGTGTGCCACACTTAAAATATCCTTTTGAACAGCAATTACTCGCCCAAAATACTCGTTTAGGTTTGTATTAAATATTTATCAAACTATTTAAATCATTTATACTTTGTTCTAATTGGATGTTTTCATTATTTTTTATGTGTATATTATAATAATATATATAATTATTTAGAAAACAATAATCAACAAAGTCAAATTACAACTAAGCCGCAACCTGATAAAACTATTAAAGTTGTCCATTTTGGAATTGTATGATCTTTTTCATCAAAACAATTTATATTTAAATAATAGTAAACACAAATGTATTATTACTTTATTAGTATTAGTATAAACTATAAAGACTGCCTAAATTTATTTCGGTGTGTTATGGATTAATTTTGAATTGGTCATAATCAGGCTCGAATTTATGTGTAAGCACATGTACTTGTTTATAAATTAATGTTTAGCAACTTTGACAATACCGTCCATTCAATTTAATTATATTTATGGCTATAAGAAATAGGTTACATAAATACTCATTATGGTGGTTTGGTATTTATTTTATGAAATGTATGATATACCTTAAGGCTTTTATTTTGTTTTTCTTGCCAATTGTACCAAATTAATGCCATATTATAAACTATTGTTAAAATATATTTTATTTATTATAATATTATTGTTAAAAATGTTTATGTAATAATTATTTAAATTGTTGATACGTTTATACAAAAAAAAAAAAAAAAAATGTTTCATTATATATTGTTATGCAGTTAATTTAAATAACTCAACTATAATTTTTATACCAAATTTAGTGTTTAATAAAACATTTATTTTTATACCAATATTATAAACTATTTTTTTTACTTCATTTGATAATTTAAACTATATCATACTCTGTTTCACAAGAGAACTTTACGGTTTCGTGAAATTTGAATGAGCTTGTACAGCCATGAAATCCCCTCAACAGCCATATGTTTTGGTAGGGGATGAGTGGTAGGGAAACACAAAATTCAGTTTTGTTCAAAACATGGTCCTATTATTTTGTGAAAAAGAATATGAGTATAGTTGTGAATATTTTGATGTTTTAATATTTAAAAATACAGTAGAATCTGTTTATAACGATTTTCAACGGACCTAGAGAATCAGATTGTTATATCAAAACTTTGTTATATCCATATGACAAAAACATCCTGCATGTGAGACATAAAACCAACCAAATCCATGGCAGGAGATTGTTTTATCCGTAATAAATGAATACAGCCTCATAATAAGTGGATTCTACTTTAATTTAAATGCTAATTACATTACATTACAAACCTCTAATTCTGCCATCGAGTCAGCAAACCTGTTCTCTACTAATTTTTCATCTACATTTAAACCACCCCCCTTTTCTATTTCGAATTAATCTGCTACAATCTATGATGGACTGCCCTTCGAGCTGCCTTCAGACATACTTTTCTCACAAAGACGTATTACTATCTCTGCATTTGTTAAGTAACACCTCAAACGGTCCTGATGAAATATCGGCTCGTTGCCTGTTTAACTGCCGCCATGCCATAATGTTTCCTGTTTTTTTGCTATTTCGAAGTCCTTTGAGCGAAGGTGTTTTTCCAGGTGTTTGGAAAATTAGTTCCGTTTCTCCTATTTATAAGTCAGGTGACCCCTCAGATGTCAAAAACTATCGCCCTATTTCAATCATCCCTCATATCGCAAAAATATTCGATTTACTTGTATACAAAAGGGTCAAGCGCAAACCATATCATTGTTGATGAACAGCATGGGTTCAGCCGGTTCAGGCCTGTGAAGTCCACAATAACTAGTAGTGTTCAATTTACGTCGTACATCACTGAATGCTTTGAGCAAAGAAATCAAGCTGTCATTTTCACAGATTTTAGAAAAGCATTCGACACAGTTTGATCATAGTCTTAATATTAACGAACTACAGGCACTTGACATCAGGAATTTACTCCTTTCTTGGTTAAAATCTTATCTAACCAAAAGGAAGCAATTTGTTAAGGTTCATGACTCATTTTCTGAATTAACAGATGTACCCACGGGGGTACCCCAAGGAGGTCACCTAAGCCCTTTACTATTCATCATATTCATTAACTCTATTAATAAGTGGATTACCAAAGCCAAGTTCCTCTTATTTGCTGAAGACATAAAAATCTACCTAAAAATTGATTCTCCTGAAAGTTGTCTCATTCTCCAATCTGAACTTGATACCTTCTTCACCTGGGTCCAAAGTCTTGTTTGTCACTAAACCTTTTAAAGTGTCATGTAATGTCATTTACTAGAAGTCGTTCTCCCATTTTCCATCCATATCGCCTTGGTAACATCCTTATATTGAACGGGTGTTTGTTTTTAAGGACCTCGGCATTTTCTATTCCCCCTCTTTAAGTTTTGAGCAATATATCAATGTAATTGTCCCTAAAGCCCTTAAGATCCTAGGATTTATCAAACAAGTCTCAAAAACGTTCTCCTCTGCAATTTGTCTCCGCTCACTTTATTTTTGCCTGGTACACTCTAAGTTAGGTAATGGTGTTGAAGTTTGGCACCCATACTTAGCCAAAGACCAACTAAGATTGGAAAGGGTCCAAAATAAGTTCCTTTCCTATTGAAAATTGACTCCAGTGATTGTATCCAGTTTCAAGTTCCGTCCTATCCTACCAGAGATCATACCCCTATTTACGTTCCATCCCACTCTTCTTCTTATGGTTACAATCACCCTATGCGGCTATGCATCGTATGCTTCGAGATTTTAATAATGCTTTGTAATTGCTGCTTAATTCTTGGACCTTATTTCTTATGTATATATTTATATATTTAAAATTCTTTTTTATCTGTGCACATTTTAATTCCAATCAATTTCTGTAATTACTATATAAGTATAAACTGTATATATCCTTACATTATTTATCTAATTGCCCGATTGGGGGTAAGTTAATTAAAATAAAAATAAATAAAATAATATGACTCTATCAGACCTTCAAACCAATTGAAAAAATGTCTGTTTTGATTTTGTATGCCAATTTTGGTTCCAATTTTTCAATACTAATATTAGGATATTTCGGTTTTGGTTTCGATTTTATTTACCGGTTTCCAATTTCTTTTCGGATTTCGTTTTTGATTTCAGTTTTTAAACGGTATATACTGGTTTCTAAAACCGGTTACAAGCTTGAACTATTTACGTTCATTCTTAGTTTATTAATTTTTTTGAATCGAGCATTCGAATCGCCTTTCATGTAAAGTAAACTTTCCAAAATGTCAAGATCCAAATATTTTTTTTAAAGATACTGTTTTTTAAATTATAATTTCGGTTTTAGTTTTTAATTATAATACCAGTATCCAATTTTTTTCGTTCTTGATTTTATAACGGTTCATATAGGATTCAAGCCCTGGATTCTATTTCAATCTTAAAACTATACAAATGCAACATTTTAAGTTCACAAATCTTTTTAATAACTTACTTGAAATGCTTATGTTAGATATCTAGTTATCATTGTTCAATGAGATGTTTAGTTTTTGGGCAGTTAAACATTAGTCATTGTGATGATTTTTATATTTTTTGCCATTTGAGAGCAACTGAGCAATGAATGACTGCATAAAATCGTTAAAACCAAGTTTTTCATGAATGTAAGTGTTAATCGTACATAAAAAAAAATGCATTATTCAAAATTTCACAAATTTTATTATATTACTTACAATATAATAAATTTAGGTACCTAAGTACTACATAATGTTACAGATTTAACAATAAAAATAAGTATTTCACACTCACTTTTTTTTTTTTGTACCACCCATTTCTTCTAGTTGATTTTTCAACGTTTTCAGTTCGTTGTCGGGTATATATTTGAGTATTTCGTGTTCGTCCGTGTGCTTGTGAATTGATGCCTTAACCCCTGCAGGTAGTGAGTCTTCTATTACTTCGATAAGTAAGGAAAGCTTAGTAGCGGGGATGTCAACCACCTAAAAAAATAGACAATGTATGATTAAAGAAAAAAATGTGATACACTACATTTCACGTTCATACTTGTATATTACGTTCGTATACACTTAACGTGAATTGTGCTTCTACATTTTCACTATTGGGCACCAATCGTCTGACATTTATTGTTTGTGGAGGTAATGCCCACCTAAAATAAATAAGAAATGTTACTATATTTTATAGACTTTACAAAACTTATCAAACTAGTAATCACCCATCAGATACTTCAAGGTCCATATTTTCGGCAATAGTGTGCACAAGTTTTTGAAACGATTCTAGTATGGCAAAGTCATAACCTTTGATTTGAATATTTACTTCCTCGTATTCAGGAATATCTGGCTTTAACATATCTAGATACTCAGGTTCGTAAATACTACCGTAACAACGAACAGATGGCACACAGATCTTAGCTGATTTAAGAGATTGTAATTTAACAATCTTATAACATTGTTGTGCCTACAGAAATAAAAACATTACAAAATTATTATTTTAACAATTATACTCTGCTTAGCGAAAGAATGCGCTAATTCTGAGCATACCCCATATCACCCTGCTATAGAAACCATAAAATGAGTAAAAATATTCAATGATTGTCAATGACTCTAGTACTCAACTAGGTAGTTTAACCTAATTGATTATCCGACAATTTTTACAAATCAGAATATACGTACCAAACATTTTGTCGCAAACATATTGATCCTTTTTAAAAGACTATAATATCAACAGGAAACTAAAGTTAAACCTATTTGTATGTGACGAAAAAAGGAAATGTAACCATAGATATTAAAGAATATCTATGAATTTAATCCACCAAACTAAAAAAACGGCTACAGGCTATAGGTACCCCAAAGCGAATAGCCAAATATTAATTTATCCCATAGAATGATAAGAAATTTTAAAACTGATAACTTGTCCCTAAAGTACTATCACAGAATTATTATTGTTCTATGGTGGTACCATAGATAATAAAGATATGGATAGGACATAATGGTCTTATCAGCGGTCTTCCAGGGGAATAATTGAGGCCAAATAAAGTATATCTAGATGGAGCACGGTCTTAGATTATGACTGTCAACAAAAAATGTAAACAAATCGCCTCAATTTCTTATCTATGTTGGACCACAAAACCAAAATAATATTATTCTATGGTTATAATCACACTTGAAAGCACTGAACTCTATACGGTTGAAACTTGAAATTAAGTTATTAGTTAGGTAGGATTGTAGGAATAAAATTTGAATACAATATTCTAGTCTTTTATAATAATAGAATATAGAATGGAAAATCAAATGTGTGTACAATTTATTTAAATCACCAATGTTAACTGCACGATATAGTAAGATAATATCTTAAATATTATATCTTAGTCTGTGGTTAACAGTAATAAGCACAATTAAGAATATAATCTTTAACTGTGGTAATAATTATTGAATATTATTGTTCTTATTGAGCTGTTGTGGAATGTGGATTAAAGATCTTTTTTATAGATCTAAAAAAAACATTGGTAGAGCTCCTGTGATTAATAGCTAAGTGGCGTAACTACTAAGTACTAACGTACTATAAAGGAGCTTTTTTAAGGGATATTAATTGTCAATAACAACATGAAAAACATAATATATATTTTAATATAACTAATTGGATCGTTGTAAATCAAAGACGGCAGCGCAGGCCGCAGACAGAAATGAGCACTTGCGTTAAAAATGATTTGGCAATAGTAGATGTTGCTAACGTTATTGAATTTAAATCTAAATAATAATTATTCAGTTTTGAAGCCAATGCCGTTGGTTTAGAATGTAAGATCACAATTTTAGATTTAACTAGTAAGTACTTACTCTTAAATTTTTAAATTGTGGGTTAGATTAGTAAGTAAAGTAATAAAACTTACCAAACCCAAAGAAATCATATAGATAGGTAAAGCCATGACAAATTATATAGGTATCATCACAGTATTTTTATAAGCATCCTCTGCTCTAATACATACATATATAACATAGAAGAAAATCAACCAATGAGAAGTGGAGAACTACGATATAGGCCGGAGGTGAAGGAGATGCGTATCTAGTACTATCTACTGCGCAAAACTAGTACAACTGTGATGATACCTATCTAATTGGTCATGGGTAAAGCCATCTTGGAGCTTGGTTAGTTATTTCATTTGTATTTCAATGAGTGTTGAATGTGGTAATTAATACCTAACTTATATCATACCGTACTAGTTTATTATGTATAAAACATACACAATCTATTTATCATCAAATAATTTTTTGTAAAATTTATGTTTATTAATAATAATACATTTTAATACACAAATTACATTATTCCAATATGATTACATACATGGAAATTTTAAATGTATTTTGTACTTAAATTGTACAATATTAAATTAAATATCATAATCCAATAGTCTATAAACTAATAACATTTTACACAACTATGAGAAAAAATTTTTAAACAAAATTATTTTTCAACAAGCTTACACAAAACAGAACACAAGGAATCACGGAAATTCATAATTTCATCAAAAGATTGATCATTAGTTTCATAATGTCCGTATGTCTCCATTAGAAAATCGATAAAACTCCTTAGTACGTTCCTCAGCGATAATAAGGTTTCCCAATCACTGAAAAAAAAAGTTTTATTATTTTTTATCATATATTTTCTACTAATAAAAATACTCTGGAACAAATATGGACCAAACAGAAATAAACGGCTATAAGAGTGGTTTGGACTTTGAGACAGTGGATGGCCAGTTAATAAAAAAAAATACTGGTAGAGAAATAAACAGAAAAAGACCCAGGATTCGGTGGATAGATGTAATTTCCAAAGATCTGAAAGCAATAGATCAGAATGTGACCTAAGACTTGACTTAAAATAGAGAGATGTGAAGAGACCAGTTTACGGCAATAATAATCCTTATAGGACTAGAAAGATAATAAAATTAAAAAAAATATTTTCAGATAACTTAACATAGCCTAACATTTTTATTTTAAAAATAAAACAATTTTGATTGATATAAATTTAAAGCAACTATACTAAATTAGCTGAAAAAAAAGAATAAATATTTTAGGGTATTTTTTTTCTATAAATTTTTTCTATTTATTTATTATAAATAGTAAATACAAAATAAATCAAATATAATGCATATTAGCACAAAAACAAGAAAAACAGCACTAAAAAAGTAAGAACCTAAAATGCTTAATATATGCAAAAATAAATATGAATTATAAAATCCTATATTTAGAATCTTTGATGCACAAATCAAATGTATAGCCAACTCGTTTGTTTTTATCTGTAACCTATAATAATTAGCAAATGCTATAGTCTACAGAATCCATACCATACGTCTAACCGAGCCTGTACTAAATGGTGATCCTAGGTAAGTAATCCAGTCAAATTAGACGAAAAATTCCCACCTACCTGAATTTTGGTACACGTTTATGACATTGTTTGTCATACACATACTTCTCCAGTTCTCCCTCAATTGTAGTGTGGAAACGAATGCATTCTTATTATCGTTATTATATATAATATATATTATCGTAATTTTGAATGGTAAAGGTTAAAATTTGTATACCGAAAGGCAATTGGATATATTATATATATAACCATCTTGTAGATAATTTTATCCTCTACAATTTTTTTGTACAACTAGTATAAAGCAAGATATTCACACAGAGCTTACTTGTTTTTAACAAAAATCATATTTCATTAAAAGTGTACACTTGTTTGCCATAAAACGCAAAAACTATAACTTAAACATGAAAATATCATAAGACCTTTATTTGTATATAATTACTTCCTCTACAATTTTTATCCAAAACTTTTTATTGTACTACTAACAAAAAGCAATATATTTAAAAAAAGGCAAATTTCATGACCTTTGACCTCGAATAACCTTTAATGCATACATGATATCGAGGTCGACTTTTAACACATTATTTATAAAGATGTCATAAAAATGTGTACCAAAATTCAGCTAGGTGGGAATTTTTCTGAGCTGGAAACCTATTTTTACTAGACTAAAGATATAGTTTAATTTAATTATAATATTATAGTGCATGAAATATTTCATAACTATAAAATCATTAGTATTATTATCTTGATTTAATACAACATAGAACTTACCCTTTAGAACAAGAAATATTAACACGCTTTCCATTTTGTATGTATATCAAACAATTGTTATGTCCGTCCTGAGGAATAAATGTATTTGAAATGTTAAATAAATAATCAACGATAATGTATCCAAAACTATTCTTATGTTAAACTTACATGCTTAAATGATGCTTGACCATTAAAAAACAGTACAGCTAATGTAGGAGGAACATATGTAGATTTATTAAGCATTACAGAATCATTGTCAAGAGATCTACCTTCTCTAAAATAAGTTAATAACTCATTTTCTTTATCTTTATTATAATTTACACTTTCAGAATGCTGTATAACTTTTATTCCAGCACTAAATAAAATTAAAAATCAATAATAATAATCAAATTTACATTGTTCATAAGTATAATAGATTGCATACTCATTAATAAATGTATAGTCTAAACGTCCATTTCGTCGCATAAATGTTTTTCTGAAAACTAAATTTCCAAATCCAGAAATTAAAACTGCCGGTATAAGTTGATCTAATGATTTTTCAGAGTTTAAATTTAAATTATTCATGTCTTTGTCTTCAATAAGCATACTATTATACAAATGTTGTGTAAATAAATTTTTCAATTCTGTAAAAAAATGTAAATAACACTCAACATAATATACCTATTGGATGTTTTTTTATGTATTCTCTTTATTTAAAAAATATAAAAATAATTAGTAATAAGCTAATTCAATTTAATACTCACTGTTTATAAGTATAAGATTATTTCTTGACAACGAAGAATTATTGTTATAACGATTTTGTGTGCTATTCCACTCCGAAAATATTTTTGCCACAGCCAGGTGATCACTACTCGACGAATATTCCTTTTTTATTATTCGTGAATCGGCCGAAGTTGTTTCTTTAAATATGTTCACGTTACTTGATAAGTAAGTTATAATTGTTAGTGTAGAGTCTAGACATCTAAAATAAATTGTTAATATTAATCGTAATATAAATTTAACAAAATAACTAAACTATTATAGAATATAACTCAATGAAAAATTGCAGCTCACTTTAAAAATACAGAATTGACTAAAGCTTTTGAAAGACATGGATCAAATGGGAATGCAGCAATTCTTTTTCCTAATGCTGTTAGTTTTTCTTCTCTATCTAATGCCCCGAGAAGTTGCAATTCCGAAACGGCAATATCTATGGATTCTACGCTAGGTGAATTTAAAAGCTTAGATAATACAACCCTTGCTTTATCCTCGCTATGTATCTAGATAATATAAACAATTATTTGAGATTTTGCATAATATAATACAGTATAATTTAGGTACCTACTTACCTATATGATATGTGTATATAATTACCTTAAGATTAATAATAGTATGTTCAAGAGGAGTTAATTGAATCTCAGGTGTAGGATACTCTGAGCAGTTATTGAAACGATCCAATGTGTATAAATGATAACATTCTCCGGGCTGAGTTCTTCCTGCACGACCTCTTCTTTGTTTTGCATTAGCCTGAGAGACCCAACAACGATCTAATAGTTTAATACCTTTCTCTGCATTCCAACTATAAAATTATTATAAACGTAAACATTTA